AACCTTTTGGAGCCACGGCACATACGGTACTTCACTTTAGAAAAATCACGCGGCACACCACCAAACAAAAATGTCATTTTGAGCACTACTCATGCTAGGGCCTTCATCTGGGTTGGAATTTTCAGACCGACTACTTTTTCTTTTCAGATATTTATCTATTGCTATTAGGCGCTGCATCGTGACTATTATCTCACTGGTTCTTCATCTTCTTCTTCTTCTGTTTTACTGGCAGTTGGCAACCCATTTAATTAGAGCAAGTAGTTGCACTGCCCTCTAGTGGAAGAGAATGTAATTGTTCTGCCCGTTACTCACGCCAGGTGCTTAGAATACTAATCAGGTGGAACCAGATAATCTTCCATCGCACACCGGATCATTTCCTTATGGCACGCCTGTGTGCCGTGACACAGTGGTTGGGAAACGCTGCTCTAAAGAGCTGGCATGGAAAGTTTACGGAGGTTTGGAGGGTTTGTTTTAGCCACATGCAAAATGGTCAGGTTTAGAGGCTAATCTCAAAATACTGAATGAGGTTTATATATTCAGCCTGAATATACCAGCAGTAACCATACATTATATAAATGATCAGTTACATAATTGTTCTGTAGCTTACAGCTTGAAGGATTTGGAAAAGTACACATCTCCATGTTAAAATTACCCCTACTCTGTGGAGCTGGTGCATAAGTGGGTGGGTTAATACACAAAGTCATACAATGAAAATCATTATTTGCTTTTAAAATGTCATTTTTAGCAGAGGCTGTTAAATTTGAATTCTTAAAGAAAGACACGAGAACAGCAATACTTTTACTTTTTTTCTCATTTTTCAGTCTAGTTTTGTTCATTCAAAAATGCATTAAGTTTGGATTTTCTTCACTCTAAGTATAGTACATTAATTCCATGGCTTATCTATAATATTTACTTATCTATAATGAAAGGTAACTGCTCACTGTAATCACTCAGCCACTGCTGTTAAGAAGCTCAGCAAATAAAACGCCTATATTTGTCAGGCCAAATATTAGCTTATTCCAGACATGTGCCCATTACATAGTTTGTCCTCCAGGAAAGATAAACATAACATAAAGTGACGTCCTAATCAATGTGTATGTCTTGATAATATTTGACCAACAACAATGAAAAATGTAGCATAGACACGCTTGGAAGTAGGGATAAAATAAAAAGGGCCAGTTGTTACCAGTCAAAAAACCTGTTTGCCTTTTGAAAGATGGAGAAAGAAGTTAGTCCCAATGTCTCACAGCAAAGGATGGGTTTAAATTGTCCTTTCCTTCTGTTACCAGTGAGGACAGATAGAGATTTGAAAAAGTTCATTTCCAACTGTGTGCATGAATAATGATATACAATATGTCAATAGGCACCCTGTGTCTAATTTAGCACATTTTTAACCCTGTGAGGTGTTAGTCATCATTGCTGATGCCCCTAACACTTTGCTGTCAGAACATACCATTTTTGTTTTTGTGTTGTTCACCTACGTTCTGACGAATGGCACACATCAGAAACTATTTACAGCATTTTCTAAATTGTAGGAAATTGCAAAGGATACAGCAGCTGTACATTAGGGCCCAGTGACAAGCAGCTGTACCTCTAACACTACAAGATACACCCTGACTGCCCATTTTATATCTATCCCTATGAGGCAGGTGTGTAAAATTAACTATTGATGATGACGAGTGATCAAGGATCCAGTTTTAGTATTAGCATACATAACTGCGGCGGAAATAAAACAAGATGAAGAGTATAACTTTTGTGTAGTCACACTACGAAGACATTGCTTTCTAGCCACAAGGTTGTCTTGTATAATGAAAGGCTTAAGACCATCTAAATTCACCCTTTAATACCTAGATTTACAAAAGCATGCCTGCCATGATATTAAAATCTCACAGTGGATATATTTTTCTGAAGGTTTATAGTGAAATAATGTTTTTTAGTTGCATGAATCATTTTTGTTCTTGAAATGATGTAAGGTTTCCTAATGTGAAATTGCCACCCACTGAGCAAAGTTACTGTCATCAGTCTAAAGCTGCGGACAGTTTCTGCAGGTTATTACTGCTGTATGACAGCCTATTATCTCTCTATGACAGGCCATTAACTGCACAGAGGACTGGGAAATGAAACAGGAAGGAGGACAGAGAGAAGACAATGTGCTATCAACAAATCAAATGGACGGCCTTTACACTCCGCCAAAGTCAGCGAATACAGCACTGAGACTCAGAGGACGCTGTACTTTGGTACTCTGGGCTCAGGATGGTGTGGATTTTTTGCCCAAGTGCACCATTGAGTAAGCAACAGAGGGGAGTGCTTTCTAAAGTCAGCATGTTATTGTTGTTATATTAGAATTTCTATGCTCTTAAGTGATGTAAATAATTACTTCTGCTGTATTGGATTTATTGGCCCTTTGAACATTCCAACAACGTTTATGTTTAGTGTTTAATGTTTATGTCTTGGATGGTGAACTTATTTGGACAATCGTCTAAAGAAGGAAGCCTAATCACGTCACTGCTCTTCTGAAACAAGTCTGTACCTGAACCTTTGCATACCTGGTGGTTAGGTCCATCAGTTTGAAGACTGTGTTGGCACTGTGAGTGTCCAATAGATCAATAAGTCAACCACTCACTCTTGTCCTTGTTCCTCTAATCTACAATGTTAGCCTTTCAGCTTTTTCAGTGCTGCTCTGTATGCAAATATGTGCACTTTGAATCAGTAGTTTAACTGTAACTTCTGATTTACAGATGTTAGCTGCTCTACTTTATCGGCATTTGAACGATTTCAATAAATAAAGATTAAAAAATAAATAATGAAGAAAAAACATTGCATATTCTGTCCACTAGGGGACACTCTACCACGTCCCTGTTCGGAAAACACAGTTGGATTCCCACAGACAACAATCAGTTGTTCCAAGAGAGATGGGCAGAGCAAGTGAACAAGTGAATAAGTATACATAACAAATATTAGGGAAATCTGTTTGTTTCCTGTCTATGAAAGAACACACACACGTGTGTGTGTGTGTGTGTGTGTGTGTGTGTGTGTGTGTGTGTGTGTGTGTGTGTGTGTGTGTGTGTGTGTGTGTGTCATGTGGCACATTGGATTTTTAAATCACCATATTTTGGCATTGGTATTAGTCAGGTTCGAATTTCAATTAAATAGGCCTGACTTCTGCACTTATAACAATATATTGTTTAGAAATGAGGATATTTCTCGACGTGTTTGCAGTTCTAGTTTTTTTTCTGTTTATTTATTTTGTTTAAAATTCTGTATGGTGTAAATAATGAGCACAAATTACAGAAAATTACTCTACAAATATTTTTACTAATTTATTAACCTTCACTAAATAATTTATTGAGCAAAATTAACTGTTGCTTGGATCTGAAATGTGAATATTTGTTTGTTTTTAATAGATTTTACATCATTGCAAATTGTGTGCTTTTGGAGCTTGGACTGTTTGCCACAGAAAAAAGCAATTCAGAACTACATGAAGGGCTTCAGGAAATTGTGACGGGCAGTGGTAGTGATGGATACAGGAAAAGCCTTTCTAAGTAAACATACATTTGTTTTTTAAATTCTGCAGCGTGCCAGGAAATGTTCAGATAGAGAAAATCAATATACAAACGCATGTGTGTATATAGAGTTGCACTATTCTGAATTTACTTCACAATGCTCTGCCTTCTAAAATTTCATTACTGGTACAAACTAAAGTAATTTTAGATTTGCAGTCAGTTATCAGTGATGGGCAGTAATCAGCGAGAGGGGCAATTAGAGGCATTCTTCCAGACTCTCATTTATGAGAGGACTGTTTTATTGCTTATTATGCTTCTGCTGTTTTTGTCTTCATTACCTACGCACTTTGTTAAAGGAATACACCCAGGCTTTACTTTAAGCATGCCTGTTAAAAGAAACTCCCAAAGATACAAACAACAGTCATGCATCAGCACACTCTGGGATGTAGATGTTGTTCTGTATGGAGGTATCACTCTACTAGTCGAGAAGGTCAGTACTGGCATATCATTAGGTCTGCTTTGCAGTCCACATCTAGTCAATGCAGTTCGATTTTCAGTGCCTCTTATTAGGGGAAATATTGCCTCAGAGCATTTTACATGAGATTATATGAAATATTTAATGTTCATATCCATCTAAGTAATTAAAAAAGTACACCTTCCTGAAATTCAAAATAACTCTCAAAGAGCTCCAAAAAAATCCAGAGCTAACTAAATTAATTCAGGGCTAACAGACAGAAGACTGCAGCACCACAGTCTCCATTCATTCTTCTCAACTCTCCGTCTTCCCATCCTTGTCTTTACTCCTTTCTTTTCATCTCGTTCATTTTCATCATTTGGTAAAGTCTCTCTCATTTTGGACACAATCGCTTAAAACCAGAGCAGTTTTACCATTTTATCTAAGACTGAGGAAGACTGGGGTCTGAAGCTCAGGCAGGGTGTTTACCAGTGGGATCCTGTCAACATGAAGAACTGGAGGATTTAAAGAGCTTGGAAAGAAAAGCGACTGGACTTCTTTAAGTTTTCTAAAGGTGTTTCACCTCTCATCAGAGAAGCTTCTTCACTAAAGTTGCTTTTCTTTCCAAGGATGACTGAGAACCTACACAGACAACTGGGGGACTTCTATTTGTGAAGGCTTGAATTCCTTTGCAGTAACACCACTAGGGGGAATTCCTGTGACCTTTCAGGGCTTGGCGCAAAGACAGTCGGATTTTTACCCTGAGAGTGAAGATGTACTGAGTAAAGGAGCTCACATCAAACCTAGGTAATACACAGATATCAGGTGACAAATCAACGCAGTAGTTACGTAGTATTTAAAAGTTTATATTACGGAGATAGAGCTGTGTGGATGTTGTTGTCATGCAAACGTAGAACGACAGATTTTAGTGGAGAAAAGTCAGAGATGCTACTCCACACTTCTGCAGACCCACTCCACACTCACGATACTCTTGTGATGAAAGATAACTATGACGCAAAGTGACAACAAAGGCAAGGCATTACCTCCTCAAACAGCTCCAGGCTGTACGTGTTGTCATCATCCGCGAAGAAAACCACACCGGAGTCCCGCCTGCTCCGGTGTTGCCGGAGCCAAGTCAGAGCCGCATTCCTCTGTTCGGTGGCGCGTGGCATCCCGGCGCGCTTGAACCTCCGGGGAGTGAACACATGTAGGTGGGTATACGGCACCCCGCACCGGGCCAAGAACCGCGCAACCAGCTCCGTGCGCGCAGTCGAGTCCTCCACTACGATCCAGTGGAAGCGGGGCACCTGACGGAAGGCGTGGGACAGTCGGGTGAGCTCCGCTTTCTGCACAGGACGGCCGTAAGTGGGAGTGATGGCGTAGATAATCGGCAGGGCGGACTGGTTCTGAGAGCCACCAATCCCCGGTGCGCCGGTTCGGACGGCTCGCTGCGTCTTGCCGGTCCGACCGGCTGCTGGAGCCCGGATCGTTCTTTTACTGTCGATATCAATCATAATGATGACGATGAGGACCCAGGGCAGCAGGATGAAGAAACGGCTGAAAAACACAGATTTCATGGCTGGTATGAAGTTGCCGTGCGCGCGGTCTTTCTCACTCCATCGCAAACGGAAAGGCGAAGAACGACCGACCGCAACTCCAAGAAGCTCTTCCCTTACATCCACTGAGCTGATTCCCAACAACCCGCCCGCACACAGCAGCGTGCTGAGTCCATTGCAAACTATGTAAAGCACACAATCCTCCGCCGCTCTCCCCCCTGTCCCGGCGGGACCGTCTCTCCGGTCTCCACTACTCCTCCTCTTCCCCCTCCTCTTCTCTCGGATGGGACTTGCGTGCTTCTTCGTCCTCCTACCCTCCTCCAGCTCTCTTGCTCTCTCACGGAAACCTGGTTAAATTCCCATCACTCGTTCTTCAGTGCTTGTTTTCAGTAGAGAAAAGAAAAAACAAAACGAGCCGGAGCAGCCGTACCTGGAGCGCGCTGTGATAAACCAGTGATGTAGGTGATGCGGGCAGACGAGGAGCATCACTTGGCGAGGACGAAGGAGCGCTGCTCCGAGTCTGAGGATAATAAGGCAGGAGGGGAGGAGCAGGTGCAGAGGAGGAGAAGCGGGATAGAGGAGGGAACCTCGGGAGGGAGAGAGAAAGAGAGAGAGCGGGAGGGAGAGCGAGAGAGACCTTGTGCGCGTCAGTGTCCGCTGAGAATTAACCCAGCTCACACTGAGACACCCGGAGAAGAGACAGCGCAGGTTGTGTTTCTCATGCTGTGCTTGTCAAGCCCAGTTTCTCCAAGATAAAATAGAAGGACTTGATATGTGGACCCGTGGGACACCATGAAGGAGTTAAAGAGACAAAATCATTTTACAAATCGACATAATGAACATTTTGAGGCTTCATAAAATGATTTCGATCTACCACCTATTTTCTTTAACTGGCCGTTTAGTGCATAAAAATGTGCATGTCAAATAAAAATAAAGAAGAAAAAACAGACTTCACCTCTTATCTTTTTGTAACCGCTAAAAAACAAAAACAACCCGTCAGAATAGTAATAGTATGAATAGTGTAATAGTAAAATCTTAGAGGCGCGCTGACAGTTCATAATCTGTCATGAAATATTTCCTGATTGATATTCTGTCAGTGGATTTGTCATCTAATCGCTTCAGTATCGGTTGATGCTTGGGAAGTAATAGATCTGCTATTCATTGCGACCGTCATTAGAGGCCCAGTGATCATATTTCACCACAGGACACCCAGAAGGTTAATCTAATGATGCTTCCAGCCTCTACACTGTGATGATCTGTTGATGTTCCTTTCCCTTTGGCACCAAGGAATAATAGTCATTCCGTTTAATAAAAATGGAGATCATTTGTACAGGAGTAGATTTTCTGCTCTGCCACTTTTCAAACCAAAGACTTGCAGAATCTTGTTATTGTCATAGAAAAATATTATTTATTGACTGGTATGGCTTTGGAGAAAATAGGACCACCTGGCAGTGAAGTGTCAAATGCAAAGGAGTGCAGGGATTTAAAAAAAATGCATGAACTCCAGTCTACTTCTGAACACTGGAAACATGGAGGATTGAGGGGCTGTAACACATGCAATCCATGCTAAATTAGATGCTACAAGGATTTGTGCTATATCTGCTCTCAGATTTGCAGAGTAATATCAAATTTTATTATTTTGTATTTTAAAAAAAACTCAAGTAAATCATGTTTCCTATTTGGGCTTTGCTCAGTCTACCAACTTAACATGACACTGTTCTGATATTTTAAAGCTGCTTACCTCACAGGTCAATAAGACCTCAGCGCGAGGCGCCACAACAGCAGCCAGATAGAGTCCCGGCCTGAGTGACATGGGGAGCTGGGGTGGAAAACTACTATTGGCCTCAGCAAATGAATACACATTAAACAGGATAACTTTGTCTTGTTTGATGTTCTCATAAGCACAAAAACATTATTAATCTTTTCCTTCTAAAACAGCTACAAACCACCGATCAGAAATGTTCATTTGGTCTGACCATAAAACCTGTCTCTGTGAGCTGCTGCAACTTTAAGTCAAGCTTAAAGATGTCCGTTTTGGAGCAGGGGCTTCTTTCTTGGTTGGCACCCTCACAGTCTGTGGTCATGTGAAACTTTTTGACGCTGGTGTTCCAGCTGTTTGCAGTGGCAGGCTTAATCCTTAGTGATTCATGGGTTGTTCCTGAACATCCTAACCAGTCATCTGTCATCTGAGGGGACAGTTTGGGTCTTCTTCCAGATCTCAGCAAACTGGTGAAATAATCTGAATATTTTCTTCCTCATGTTCAGTTTTTTAAATGGATAATTCTGGAATTTGCAGTTGTTTAGAAATGGTCCATTAAGTTTCTGGATTGGCCTTCCCAAAGCACTGACCTCAACCCTATTGAAAATTTGTGGACTATGTTTAAGAGCCAGGTCCCTGCCAGGAAACCAGCTAATATTAGTAAATCCTGCTAATTCCACCAAGAAGAGTGGTCGAACATCCAAAATTATGCCAGGAGCCTGTAAATGAAAGTGTCTGTCAGACGTGCAACTTGCTAACCAAATAATTATATGTACACATTGAATCCTGTGTGGATTACAGAAAATCCTAAATAAATTCACCTTTATGCTCCCACATCTTGTTTTCTGAAGATATTAAAGATATATGCGGTACAATCTAAGGAGCTTGGAATGACATGGATGACTGAGAACCTACACAGACATATGACGTAAAATCGTTCCATCCTGGGAAACAAACAGTCCAAGGAAATCATTAAGAGCCCAAATTTACTCCTTCAACTTTTCCAGGGTGCCACAAAGGTGTTCCCAAGTCAGCCAAGAGTCATAATCAAAGTGACCAATGCTGGGCACAGTCACTACTCAGAGGAATGTCATTTCCTCCACCTGAATTTGCATTCTTCTACTTTAGGTCATTACACATAACTTGTGCCCACAGGTGACGGTGTAAACACAGACAGGCTGGAAAATCGAGTTCATTTTCATGCTCTGCACTCTCTACACAACAGACTGTTTGTGTTTGATGCCGTCCAACACAAACGCCTAAAGCCAGAAGGCCAAAGATGTTGTGCTGGAAACAACCAATCAAGATATTCATTACAAACTCTCACCTCTCTAGTGTTATTACCACCTATCTGATTTTACAAGGGCAAAGTTAACTACAGTGGAACATCTCACATCAAGTTTATCTAAGAAGAGCTGGATTATGAGTCAGTGGTTTATTGCAGATCCATTTAAAGGTCCTTGAAGCACATTTAGTCCAGCAGCTTTCCAACTAACTGGTGTTCTCCACTTCAGTTGAGAAGCTAATCATTGATGGTTAATTAATGCACACACCATGGATCAAGAGATCTGTCGGAAAGAAAAGAAAGGAGAAACCACTGAGCCACGTTAATTGAGTTGGTTCACACCAAAGTAATTGCAGGCAAACAAGCTTATATGTTCACAGGATGAAAGCACCTTTGATTGTTTGGTCTAGATAGCAACACTGGAGCGCTCATGTTTAAGGAGGGGCAGTGAAAAGCAGGGATACTTGATAGCACTGTGCGCTATTGGATATTACATTGTTCTCAAACAAAATTACTTTTGGAGGCTTAATCAATCTCATGCTCGGTGATTTGAGTGAAAACCAAGTGATGGGCTTACTCAATGACAAATCACTTTTAAGACACTGATGTGGTGATAGCAAGTTGTTTAATAGGCTCTATTCCAGAATTAAATTGTCATGCTTTATCAACTTTGATTGCATGTTCTTCCATCTGTTCACACACACTGAGCAATTTGGAAACGAGGACGATGCATCAAGCAGGATGTCATTTTAAATGGGATCACTTTGATTGCTTCAGATGTTATTAGTAGCCAACAAAGAGGAAAGACAGGACTTTGAAATCAGATGGACGACCCATCTCAGGTGTTTGTTCTGGGGATTGTAAATGTAAATCTTGGATTATCTTCCCTGGAACAATTATCAAATTTGTGCAATTGTACAAAATAATCATACTTGTTGTCTTTTAAAAGCTGCTGTCATAGATTGCACTCAGCATGACATTCAAGTCTCAACTCCCATTTTGAATCGGCCCCCGCCCCCCTTTCCTGTTGTCACGCTGTTGTATCTGTCAATCACTCGTCTGACTGGCTTGAATGCCGTCTCTCTCCACATCATAAATCCTGTTTTATTCATAGGAAGAGTCTGCCCCTGACTGTGCAAGTTATGTAAACGACAGGACAACTGAAAGGACAGCCGATCCAAAAATAGACACATTTAATTATACATTACTGCAACCAATCCTGCAGCAAGTACAGTAAATATCGGGCACCCTTAGTTTTAAAGCAACTGCCACCGAACAACAGCTTTCAAACAAATTAGCCCAGCATGTTGTTAATTCACACAGCTGAGGAATGATTTTCTAAATTAAATGACGATTTACAATAACAAAAGCTTTGCCAGATGATAGTATGCAGATTTTCTTTTTCCCAGTGCTCTGGAGACATAATTAAGCCTCAATAGGCAGAAAATAGTGTGTAAATTTAGGCATAAGCCCAATGATGAGCAAAAGATAAAAGAAGAGCTAGCTGATATAATGAAAACCTAGTCTCATGCTACCAGATAAAAAGAGTATGTAGACATAGTTAGCTTGCTTTCAGTTAGTTAACCTCCCATTTTCACAGCTATAGACTGTATACAAAGATGGAGCACATGACAGCAGCCTCAGAAGGGAAATCTTTATTTCAATTTACTTACTGCGAGGTGAAAAAGTGTTTGATTTCTTAGTTTTTTTGCACAAATGTTTCAGACCATCCAACAAATTGTATTATTAGACAAAGATAAGAAGTAAACACAAAATGCACTTTTTAAATGATGATCTCATCTATTAAGATGTTGTACCAAACACATTTTGCTTTTCCAACATCAGCTCTACTAATTCTCTATAGGCTCCTCTTGTTTATTGATGTCTACAGTCATTTTTAAGGCTTTGGGACTCCAGTGAATTATTGTGAGTGCCATTACACACAAATGGAGAAAACCTGGACCAGGAGTGGCCGGCTAACCACAATCACTCCAAGAGTGCATCAACGACTCGTCCAGCGAATCATAAAGGAAACCAGAACAACAATTAAAGAACGTCAGAGCTCACTTGCCTCATCAAAGTCAGTATTAATAATTCAATATTAACAACAAAGAGTCTGGGCTGAAATGGCATTCATGATAGACATAAAATTTATGGTTATGGTTTTTCTACTGTTTGTGTAGAAAAACATTTTTGTACACAGTATATTTGAAGATGTTTATATGAACACCTATGAGCCTTTGGCATACTACATATACATAAAACAGGATTAGGCAGAATAGCGATGTCTGTGTTGCCCACTGTACTCAGGATGCACGGGCAATATGTTGGCTTCCACAATTAAGTTTATGAAAGTGCATGTTTGTCATAACATGTAATTTCACACTAATTAATACATATTTATGAGTACAACATTCTTTTTCTATTAAATAAACAAAACTGTTGTCTAAAACTGTCTACGTGTGCAGGCGGTACACAAATTACTTGAGCTGCTCAGGATATCGCGCAC